TCTGAGGGGCGGCTGCGCTCCGAGGGGCCGCTCCGCTCCTCCGCGCCGGGCCCATGGCCGAGGTGGGCGGCTTCCTGGGCGCCCTGGACCCCGACCTGCACGGCTTCCCCCCCGCGTTGGGCGGCGGGCTGCCCCTCGCCGACTCGCCCGGCTTCCTCAACGAGCGCCTGGGGCAGATCGAGGGGCGGTTGCAGCGGGGTTCCCCCACCGACTTCGCTCACCTCAAGGGCATCCTGCGGCGGCGGCAGCTCTACTGCCGCACCGGCTTCCACCTGGAGATCTTCCCCAACGGCACGGTGCAGGGCACCCGGCAGGACCACAGCCGCTTCGGTAAGGGGCGCTGGGGAGAGGGGTCGGGGGGGGCCGGGGGGCCCCGGGAGCAGGTGCCCCGCGTCCAGAACGCATTACCCCGCTAATATCAGTCATCCCGGGACGGATATAATTAGGCTTCTAAATAAATGCGCTCACTCCCCAGCAATGCGGGAGTTTTTATTTCCAATTTCCTACTCTCCCGGCGCGCAGCCCCTCTGCAGGTGCACAAAAACGTGCCCTGGCCGGGGGGGGGGCGAAAAAAAAGTCAATTAATATATATATATATATAAAGTGGGTGTGCGTGTGGGTGACCAGCTCTAGTTGTGCCTCTGAAGTTAGCGGTGAGCGAGGCAAAAGAAAGGAGAGAGCACGCTGGAAAAAGAAATTCCTAGCTTTTTTGGTGGGTTCTTTCTTTTTTTTTTTTTTTTTTTTTCCCCTCCTTTTTTTTGGCCTCCGCGGATACTTGTGAGCTGATTTCTTTTACTTGCATGAATTTCATTACAAGAGCGTCTCCTCAAAGCGGGCAGGGATCGGTTGGCTGGATGGGTGTCAGAAGCTCGGTTTGGGGAGGTTGTTGGAATTGAAAGGGGAAGCTGAAGGGGGAAAAACGCTTAGGGGACCTCAGAAAGAAAGGAGAAGATGGAACAATAGGCAGAGCACCGTGGATTTACCTTGCCGCCTGGGATACAGCTGGAAGTCTGCAGCGCCTGTATCAGTGTCGCACAAGAGCAGGGATCTCTAATGAGACTATATGTAATCTTCAAAAAATGCATCCCAAGCCACAGGCGAAGAAGTACAGTAAGTTTGAGCACAGCTAAGAAAAATTCCCGCTACTTCAGCATCTAGTGCAGGTGTCTGTGTAAGCTATCAACAAGTCCCATGCCAGTGATCTCAGCTATGTTGTCAACAGGTTGCAAGCAGTGCTTGCAAGACTTTTTATAGTTTTCCAAGTGGTTTAACTCCTCGGTGAAAGGAATTCTTTTTTTTGCCTTTGCTTGTTTGCAACCGGTCCTTTCTGATACTTCAGGAACGCTGCTGCTGCTGCTATTGTTAGCAGTGTAAGGCAGGTTTTTGGAACGCTTGGGGAAGCTTATCTCCGTACCGTGCTTTCCATAAACACCAGGTGTGTGCATAGCATGTCCCTGCCTAAATCAACAAGAAAGTCGTAACCCGCGGGTCAGAGTCAGGTACTAATAGGCTCATGGGGCAAGCGTTCTTTAATTACCTCCCAAAAGATGCACATCTTTGAACCTCTCATGCTGCGATACGTGATGGCTTTCCACGTTGAAAGAAACTGAAAGCAAACCCATCGCATCTGTTTGGTTTTAGTTCAATCTGCCACGTAGTGTTTCTATCAGATCTTTTTACTTATCTTTATACAAGTAAACAGCCAGTTTCAAATGGCAGCATTTGTCTCAGTTCCGTTCTTTAATAAAGACTGAGTAAAATAAGTGTATTTCCAAACAAACTTTGGAAAAATGTGTTAAACGGGCTAAAACTTTGCATGAATTTTGCACACTTAAGCGTAAGTCACACAGTGCATTCAATAAATTGAAACATTGGCATTCCCTAAGTGTTTTAGCAGTCAGCATCCAGCTACGTAAACTAGACCAGACTTCAGATATAAAATATTATAGTTCTCTGCTTCGGGGTTTTCCCAGAGGCAGTGTAAAATAAATAGTTATTTGTTGTAATTGCAAGACAAAGCCCCAAAGGATTAGACTGGAATCCTCGCGTTCAGATAAAGTTGGACTAAACCTCGCTTCAGCAGAGACTCAAAGCAATAACGTATTGGCACACAGTATTCACCATCTGCATTCAGTAGCCATGAATATTTAAATTCCAATGTTACTGGTATGGTTCGTATTAGGATGTCATGTATCAATGCATTCCTAAATTTTGCATGCAGCAGTCAGAAAGCAGTAACTTATTACAGAAATAGGCAGCCTGAGCGATTCTGGGGAACTACATACAGAGCTAGATGAGGGTTTCAGAGTAGCAGTTTAAAGCTGCCTTAAATCTAGGGGCATCTGGGGAAATACTTAGAAATCCAGTATGGTGGTTTGGTGCATCAAGCCCACATGGCTGGAAGGTGCTCCCTGATATCATGAGCAGATAATTAATGTGCTCAGTGGATGGCTGCGACACCGCAGCAGAGGCACAGATCCAGCTGCAGATGGGATGTAGGGTAGAACTGGACTTTGCATCCCTATCTCTTAATACTGGAAGGGCTTCAGGAAAAGATGGACAGTATCTGTACCCTCCCATGCGCAGCCATCCCAAAAGCTACCAGATGTGGAAGACGTCTGAGTCTTCCAGAGAGAAAAATAAAGAGCCAAAGCCCTGGTGATGCTGAACAAAGTACCAAGGTGCTAATGGTGAGGGTTAAAGGGAGGGATTCTTTTGTACCACGGCATTCAGGGGATGTGACCGTAGGACACAGGGGAGGTAGCAGCATCGTCTACCCACACTGCCTGAGCAATCACAGTTAACTATTCCCTTTCATCTGTTGAGGACTGGAGCATTCCTAAATCACACCTGTCTTCTGGAACGTGATATTTTATACTTGTAAAAATACAGATTCATGCAAGAACAATGGGGCGCAGCTTATTTTTCCTAGAGGAGGCTTAACACAAAATTTGGTGAAGCCCTCCAGGATCGTTGGAAGAAAGCTCATTCTCACACTAGAAGAGTGCCCAATGTTGCTCTCTGAACTGGCAGCTCCACCTAAGTCAACCCAGAAAGAATAAAGCATTTTCAAAGATGTATCTGTTCTCACTGTATCTGCTAAGAACCTTCCTGTACAAAGAAATAAAGGATGGTCAAAATCTGGAGGGGGTTTGGACTGACATTAGCACCCCTATGAGAATCCTTCTCAGGATGAAACCCAGATAAATTCGCCAGGAAAATCCCTGCCAGGAGGAATTGCTCCTATTCCACCTCATATCTGTTTTACAGCAGCATTAAACAAGTGACACCAACGGCGCTACTCTTAACTGCGAGGAGAGAAAAACGCCTTGAGTTTGTACTGCAGACTAATAAAGGCAGCAAATGAAGTTCTTCTTGGGTATGAACCTGCTAATGGATCTGTAACACAGTCTCCTAGAGAAGCTGATGAAACAAACCTCCAGAGAAAGTTTTGCTGTAGATTTTGATATTCAGACCATAGTGCACCTGTTGCTGAACAGTTGTTGAGGTTTTTAGCCGAAGCTTTAGGTTTGTAGCCATTAATACAACATCTGATGTTTCTGTACCCCTGCTCCTGAATATAGTCATGTAAGAAGAGACAGGTGCAAGGAGCTGAATTGTTCTTTGAGGGATGGTTTATAGTAAGGCGAGAGCGTGTGGGTCCTGCCATGGCAAAGCTCGGGAGATTATTCAGTGCTTTGGTGGTAAATGAATCCAGTTGGAGTCTTAATCAAATCTCTCCAAATATTATCTAGAAAGGCTCAAGGAACAAACAGAATGAATAATCAAAGCAAGAATAAAGAGGCAAGTCCTGGGGGAAAGAAAAAAGAGAAAGGAAAGGGAAAAAAAAAAAACCAAAACCCCATGCTCTACCACAAAAGCACACCGCTACAATTGGAAGGAAAATTCTTGAGCTGGCCCCAGTGGCCACTCCCTGTGCTGCTGGAGATCAGATGTACGAAGCTGCAATTTTGTCTAGCAATTGGAGTGAGTTAAGGACAGGATGGATATCCGCCCACATTTTTTCAGCCTTCACTCTGTCTCCTGACTTTTGTGGGTTTAAGTTACATTCTTAATGCTGTTTCAACATAGTTGTCTTCTGTGCACGTCTTTAAGTGCCACTCAAAGATCAGAAAAGGGGAATATTGCACGGGACGTTGTCAACAGAGATTGTCATGGGCGTACCTGGAAGAAAACCAGCAAGTATTTACCCAATCTGCACCAGATGAATGTCTCACCCACCTGCTCAGAGAGGAAAGATGCTAACGCTGCTCCTGGGTTACTCCTTACCAGGTCTTTGGAGACCTGGGTTCATGTGCCACATGCAGAGTGCGTTTGTGGGTATACTTAAGAAAACCCTCAGTTTCCCTGCCTCAGACATTCCTCGGTTTCTAAATGGGACTGGCAGCGTTTTCCTGCTTCCCAGGGGTGACAGAAGACAAATAAATAAAAGTGTTGGTGCTGAGGACTGTGTTTGTACCTATAGGAAGGCTGATCTACTGCTGACCAGTTACCAAATATTTTTCACTTGAATGTCTGCTTGTCTCAAGCCTGGGAAAGTCTCTCCTGTTTCTGGGTATCCCTGTATTCCTTTCCCCCTGTATTACTTTTTACACTCTCTCTAGTTGTTGTCAATCTTCCTTCACTCCCTCCTTTTCAAACAGCGGCTGTCATCGTTTCTGTCCTGCAGATGGGAAAACAGAAGCACACAGCAGTTCAGTAACTCCCTTCACGTGTCAGAACTGGTGGGTAGCGGAGGCAGAAGAGCACCCTTCATCCCGCGCCTCTTCCCTTCCCGTTCGTGCTGCTTTTCAGATAAGAAACCACAATAACTACCAGGGTCCTGGTTTGCCTGCCTGGCTTGGGAAGGCTGCCTTTCCTGCCTGCGCTGCCTGCTCCTGGTGTTTCTGAAGGCAATATGTATCCGCAGGCTGGGGTGCGTAGCTGGGCATATTTCAGCCTGGAAAATATCTGCACTGGTCCATAAAGCATGTTTTCTGTCATTTGCTTCCCTGTCTGTCTCAAGGAATTGCTGCTCCCAAGTCCATATTTCATCTCCCCCTGCCCCCACCACCTGCTGGCTGCAGGGCGGGCTGGATTTGATGCACAAGCCCCAGAGCAGGCAGGGCAAAAGGAAGACAAAAAGTCTGGTAGAAGGTAGGAAGACTAATGCTTGCACCCAGTTATAGCCACCAGCATCTGACTGATGAGTCTGCGTTGAGTAAAGGGGGACAGAGGTGTCCATCGCCATCTGGTCTGTCCTATATTTAGGCAGTGATGCAGTTACCGTCTGAGAGTTATCGCATCCGCACCCGGCTGAGCAGAAAACATATACCCCAAGCTGAGGGATGACCGGGAGCTGTGACTGCTGCTGAAGTCAGCTGGCTCAGGTGGCCGCTCGTCACGCGGTGATTTTAGACTCAAGGCATAATTTTAAGAGGCGGTCTGGGAGGTAACCTGATCAGAGCAGCAATTGCTCAGGACTGGACATTTTGGGAGCTATATTAAGAGACCTGGAGCCACGCTAAAGGTTAGAGCAACTTTGTCCTCCTGTCAATGGAGACGTCTTGTCCAGTCATTAGATGGGATGGTGAAAACCCTCTTCCTTCCTCTGCTGCTACCTCCCAGCTAATTAACTCAGCACTGGACACGGGTGAAGACTCTAGCTAGGGAGCGTGTTATATCCAGAGTCTTAACACAGTCCCACTAATGCCTTCAGGAGGTTTTCCTGTGAAGTTTGAAGGTCTCCACCACTTGTCATGTTGGCATTGTTCAGACCAGTTAAAAACACACCTGCTTGGCGGCTGTTTGTTTTTAAGTGCTTCACCAAGGGTTCTCCTATTACAGGTCTTTCCTCCATCAAAACAGCTGCTGTCCCCCTTTTCGGCAGCGAGGGTGCAGCAAGCAGCGCGGCAGACCCCGCTAATTTCTTTGCCAGAGGAAATGAGCCTGCCCCTCATTATTTAAAGTATCTGACACCATCGTCATAGGCTGAAGCCCACGGGTAAAACAGTTGCTCTTGCAGGGCTGGGGATGGCGTATATACCTGCGTATATTTGAAGTTGGATTTTATCCCTGCAGCTTGTATATACATTTGGGGGTGGCAAGTACCCCACTGGAGTGCCAGGATGAAGATGGGCCTCACAGACATCTCTTCTAGTGCTTTTCACTTATTTTTATTGGACTCATCACTTTAAAACATGTGGGACTATCATCTCAAAGCAGAAGCCCCATGGTGACAAAAATCACTCTCCTTTTCGTGAAGAATAAAACCCAGCATGGTAACAGCCTTCTGAAATTTCTAGTGGGCCAGGCACAAGTTTCTACAGCTGTCTTCTCGGTGATAATTAGAAAAAAAAAAACAAAACCAAAAACCAAACCAAGAAAACCTAGCAAACCTTTTCTCATTAGCAAAGGTAATTCCTCTTGGGCAAGTCAAATTTGCAATGCCGGGGAGAAGCCTAGAGTGGAAATCAGAAGATTGCACACATATGGGACTACAGATTTAAGAACTGTGTCATTATAAATGAGGAAAACGGGGTCTGTAGGAAGCTCTGCAAAGGTTGGGAAAGGCTGGTTCGCGTTTGTCACTGGAGCCTGGTGTTGGTTTTATTCTCTGTATGATTTGGATTTCTTTTCTGTTCTAGGGATTTTGGAGTTTATTAGCCTGGCAGTGGGGCTGGTGAGCATCCGTGGGGTGGACTCAGGACTCTACCTCGGCATGAATGAGAGAGGCGAGCTGTATGGGTCGGTAAGTTTAAGGTTTTGTGCTGATTACAACACTGTATAGCATATGCAGCAATACAGGCTGCAGGACCTCGTCGGTGTCACGAGCTGTGTCTGTCGCAGGCTGCCGAAGTCCTCGAGCTGCCACGTACCTCCATTCTACTACCTGTGATGCCACTGTTGTTATAACATAAATGATATGTATGAAATAGGGTTGCGGAGGGAGGATGCACCCGTGTGGTGAGAGCCCATGGTGGTGCCCAGCCCCTGGACACTGCTTGGGGCAGTGCCTGGGGAGCTGGGGGGGCTTATCGAGCTTTTGCCTTTCAGAAATGGTGTGGCAACGGTCAACTAAAGGCAGAAGGGAAATTTAGCATAAAATTAGGGGCTGCTGGTGTGTTTTCATTGCCTGAGTAAAACATCAGTTTTATTCTTCACATGATCAGGATCTGCACCTATCTAACGAAGCTGAAGTTGTTGACTGAGTGTTGTTTTATTATAACATTCTCTACAACTCCTTTTAGGATTTTAGGGGGGTTGCTTATAATTTTCTAGAAGTGCCCTTTTCAGACTAAAATTTTCCACGTTTTGCCAAAAACCAAGTGTAAACTCCTTGTTAGTTTTTCACTCCACACAAACTCCTGAATTCCTATGAACTCTTCCTAACAACGCCTATAGCAGATTCTGCTTCATCCTTTGCTGCTGTAGGACAGAGAAAGCAGAAGATACCCATTTCCAGTCCAGGCTCAGGTTTCTAGTGGCAGCTTGTGAGTTTGTTGTTTGCTCCCTTGGTTTGGGCCATGCCCTTAGAGCTGTGGCTCGTGGGTTGCACTGCCGCAGCGGGGACCAGCTCAGGTCCACCTTGCTGCTTTTCTGATGACCCAGCCCCAAAAAGAGAGCATACGTCAGGGTTTTGCTGGATGAAACACCCGCGCACAGAGCAAACGCTTCTGCAAAGCTTGGCAGGGGCTGTGAGGAAAGGGTGCTGTGAAGAGTTTTGGCATCACAAGTAAAGTCTCCATCAACCTGAAGAGAGCTGAGCTCTCCTCTGCTTCTTTCTATTTAATTAAGTGTTAAGACTTGCAGTCAAAACGTCAGGCCTTAACAACCAGGCAGAGGTGCTTCCTACAGGTTAATTAAACTCAATTCCTAATTATTTAACTCAATATAAAACAGTAATTTCTAGTTAGCTAGAAGAATCATTTCCATTTTGAAAAATTAATTGCATTCTAGAAAACCATTTTTAAGTTTCCTTATCTGTAGCTGCTGCACTTCACTGCTGCTTTTTCTTCAGATGCCCCACTGCCTTTAACTCAACCCATCACCTGTGTGTGATTTTTTTAAATGCTTCTTTCTAGATCACAGCACTGCCCTATGTGAGGATACTGATTTTTAAGGATGGATCACAGTAAATTTAAAATGAAATAAAATAAACCAGTTTTAAATCAAAGCAGAAGGCACATACTTCCTCTAACCAAATCAGATCACTCTCATAGTGTAGAAATTTAAACTCGTATACTCTGCATATAGAGAAGCCTTCAGAAAACCTTTGCTTAGCAAACAGTAACAGTAAACCATGAGTTTCCATCATCTTTTCTTCTGCCATTCCCATCTGAGACTGCCACAGAGCCTTTCACTATTTAAGATGCAGTTACTAATGTTTATATGAGAAAATCAAATACAAGCATGCACTGATAACTGTTCTTTTTCCACATCATTTCTGTAGTAACATCTACCCTAAACAAAAGTTAAATGCAGAGATAGCAGTTAAATTACAAATGTGCAAGATAGATAAAAGGTAAAATTACCAGGATTCCATAAAACACAAAAAATCTTAAAGCGCACTTCAGAAAGCAGGGCTGGAGCCTACACCCGTGCAGCAGCACCTCTCCTGTCAAACCCCGAGGCTGCTCAGCAGCTCCTGGAGTCGCAGCTTTTGCTTGTGCCTGCTGAAGAGGATGACACAAGCCTGCATATTCCCTTCTGTGCTTTCAAACCCTGCAGCTCTGATTATGAGTCAACAGTTTCATGATGGGTTAATTAAATTCTAGGGCCTGTGTTCATGTTACGACACAGAAGCAAAAATAGGATAACATTTTACAACACTTCATCTGGAAACAGAATTGACCCGAAGACGTAATCATGGAAGTTTTCTCTCTGTCGTTGCATCTTGTACACCAGACAATACACTGACCGGATGCTGCAGGGACGCTGTCAAACCGTTGATCCAAACTGTGCAGAAGTCACGAGCCAGGTCCCCAAATAACTCTGGAGTTTTAAAACCTGGGATACATGGGTTGTACAATGATGGCTTTTCGAAATCGAAAGCCACTACAGTATTCTTAATTAAAGGTCCATAAAACAGCGCCTAACAACAGCATTAGCATTACAATGGTATTTTAGGAGATGACAGTACAGCGGTATTTTTAAATTTTCAGCAAGTTTACTATTTCCCTCTGTGCCAATTTTGCCTGATCTGTGTGTTTATCTAGCCAGAGCCAGCCATCCCCACAGCGACATGTGGAGTCCCCTCAGGACCGACAGCTTTTCTGCCTGTCCCTCTTAACCTTGTGCCAACGTTTCTGTTAAGCTTTCCATCCGTTCCAGAAACACAACTAATACTTAGAGCAGCGAAAGTCGCAGGCAGCACCTTGCACACTGCCCATACGGTGTCGGGCTCAGTGGGGACATCCCAGGGCTTGGAAAGAAATAAATTGCACCTTGCAGAGTCACCCCAGACTCTCCAAACATTTTACACAAACACTGTACCTCCAAACAGGCCAGTGAAGAGCAGGTAAACTGGGGCAAAGCAGCAGCGCACGAGTTCAGCTGGTCAGCAGTTTCCAACATATCTGTGAGTAGATGGCTTCCTACGGGAAGAAAAAAAAATATGTTTGTATTTATTGACGGATCTGGGAAGAGAAACCCCTGGTTCCCCAGGTCTCAGGTGGCAAGGGCTGTGGCATAGGCTTTTGGAGGGCTCACAACTCACCTCAGGGTTTATTTAATTAGCAGCAAAACATTCAAAACAGGTTCTGAGTGCAGGTGAGCTCCTGGATCGTATTACAAAACATCTACTGCAAGCAATAACATCTACTTAGCACTCTGTGTGCCATAGATAAGACACATTCCCTACCCGAATAGTTTGCAGTGTAGGTACAGTGTTTGTAATACTATAGCGTCCTACATTTACAGGCTGCCTTTCATCTGAAAGGACTCCCACGTGTTCCCCCCGGCAATCCCGCTGGCCGTGGAATGGGATGGGACGGTGGGTCCCTCTGCGACGCAGCACGATGGCGCTGGCAAAGCCACCCACGACCTCGCGGGGCAGGGGGACATCCCCGCTCCTCGCTGCGGCTGGGCTCGTCCCGCTAGCTGGCATGGGGGAGATGGGAGGGAGAGGGAAGGAGCGACTGGGCACGAACCAAAAAGCCATCATCGAACGGCCGCTGCCGACAGCCCCCGGCCGTAAGGGTTGGAGGGAAAGGCTGGTCGCGGCCACGGTGACACCGGTGCCATCCGTCCCCCCCTGGCCCATCGCGGGATGCACCGGCCGTGGGCTGGCACACGCTCATCACATCACCTATCGCCGCCGTAAATCTTCCCCGGGGTTAGACATCCCTGGAGCGCTGCTCCCCGTCCAGACCTCCCCGGGTCTTGTTATGGCCTCACATCACAGCTATCTGGCGCTTCAGAAGATGAAAGGCCTGAGGAATGCTTTCATTCGCGTTGCACTGTATACTCTTATGTGCCTTGAACTTTCAAAGCGGTGCTCGCTCTTGTTTAAACCCTTCAGATCCGCTGCCCGCTTCTTCTCCCGGGGTTGCCTCTTGCTTAGGAGAGCGTTTTTGGGGTGTCTGCGGTACCTGTGGATTGGGGGGGACATGGCTGTGGGTGGGCAGACCTCTGCACAGGACGCGGTCCTGCCCGGCAGCACGGCCGCCCTGGAAAGCTCCAAACTCACACCCCGATTGCAGAGACCTGGCTGCCAGGTTTAGAGTTTTGCTATGGCCCTGTTCTATTTTTTTTTTTTACGGGGCATCTTTGCAAAATGCACACCCACCTTTTCCTCCTCTTTTTGTCTCCTTCCTCCTCCAACTTCAGAGGTCTTTGGGTCCTGGCTTGTACGGCTTGTGCCATTTCCAGCTTTCACCCAGGGGAAATGTCCCCAGCGGCACAGTCCCTGTCCTCAGGGGAGCCAGGAGAAGGTAGCTGAGAAAATTCTAGGAAAATAAAGTGAAGGAAGGAGGAAAAGACTTTTTTTTTGTTGTTGTTAAATTTTTGACACAAATGTCTTTTTCTTCCCCTCCTGCCTCTGCCCCAACGCAGAAGAAGCTCACACGGGAGTGCGTTTTCCGAGAGCAGTTTGAAGAGAATTGGTACAACACGTACGCCTCGACCCTCTACAAGCATCCCGACTCGGAGAGGCATTACTACGTGGCTCTGAACAAGGACGGCTCCCCCCGAGAGGGGTACAGGACTAAGAGACATCAGAAATTCACTCATTTTTTACCCAGGCCTGTGGACCCTGCCAAAATACCTGCGATGTACAGAGACCTCTTCCACTACAGGTGATGTTTCCTGCAGCTGCCCCATCAGTGTACATACTAGGGCTCCCAAGCTTTTTCCCAGAGCACTATATTAATAGTCATTCCATCATTCCTGTAAGCATAGATGACGTAGGAAAGCACTTACATTGAATTCAGACACTGCTGTTCCTCCTTGTTTCAAGCGTATATCGAACCTGGGTTATTTATGGGGGTGGGGGTAGGGAAAGGGAGGGAACCCTACATATAATCTTTCGTTTTCATTCACTTTCTTTACCCGGTTGCTACAAGAGAGGTCAAATATTCAATGTTATGGTTGCTTAAAGGAACAAGCAGGCGAGCAAACCTGATCACCAGGGGGGAAAAAAACCAAAACTAAAAACGAAGACAAGGAAAGAAAACAAAAGACCACGGAACTGCTGCAGATGCTGCTGCTAAGCTCGGGATGGTTACGTGCTAAGAAAAAGCCTTTCGAATGGTACCATGCTTAAGCAGCCCGGGAGTTTGCTACATGGATGATGCTACATGGACTGGTCCTGATGCGTGGGGTTTTTCCTGCTGTTGGGGTGGGAGTGGGGTGAGGAACATTATTCAGATGTAAGCATGGATACTGTGCATAAGGACAAAACTATTTATAAAATGTATATGATATTTATTTTATATATTTATTTATTTCAAAATAATTTTATTTTTAATGAGAGATGCTATGACCGGATTTTCATCAGGAAGAATAAGGTCCTACTGAAACAGGAAAAAAAAATGAGTTTTAAGAGCTTATCGGCAATAAAATTGTCTTTATATTGTAGATTTCTTGCTAGCCCTTTTTTTTGGCACTCTTTAACAATTAACCCAGTATTTCCCCATCTGCATGAATATTAAGACACCTCTGAAAAGGCTTCATATGGTAAAGATACATGACCTAACTCCCCAAACCCTTGTACAAAGATGACATCAAATTATACCTGGAACGGACCTCGGAAGCGTGACCCTACTGAAATGACCGGCCGAGCGTCTAACGAACCGTAATTTCCAAGAACAGCAAATCCAGCCCTTCCCTTTACTCTGCTATGGGTAAAATAGGTCCTCAGGCCACACCGAGTACCAGGCACGGCTCCGCTTTCGCAGCCGTGGGACGGGATTGCCCCAGAATGTGCGTCGCCGTCGCTGCGGAGGAAAGAACCTCGCAGGCACAGTCCGCGTCCTCGGGATCTCCCTCGCCTCTGCGGCCCCGCGAGCGCCGGTGCAGCTCTCTGCGTGAGTCGTCAGCAGCTGAGACGCTTCGGCATGTGACGCAGCCACTGTGGATTAATTGTCCTGTCGAAAATCAAGCGGAGAAGCATTTGGAGCATCTGCTGAGTGTTTGGATGGACCCATCGTTCCTGCAGTAAGACCACCACATCTCACATGAGACTTACCTGAAGCATCATAGAAAATCAGTGAAGAAAAAGTAGAAAGCAACAAAAGCAATTTAAAAGAAACCCTCGTTTTTAAGCAATTACCATGAACGAAGTTCATCCCTGCAGGCAGTGCTTGGACGTTCATGGCTGGGTGGCATTTTCCTCTGCAGAAGCTGCCTGGTCCTGCAGTCCCATCACTTCTCCTCTGCCTTGAGGCAGCTCCTGCCTCCCGCTGGGCGCAGCCAAACCTGCCAGTGTTTCTGCAGCCTGGAACCAGCCCCACATTTCCACCCGCTGCTGGCGCTGTGCCGGAGAGCTGCAGTCCTTCTCTGGTCAGGCTGGCCGGGCTGGGGACGCTCACGGTGGAGGCTTTGCTCTGCAGCTCACCCCAGCAGCCAGCACAGGCCTTCAGTGACGCTTGTGCCACACGTCTGCCCTTGCTGCCGGCTTGGGATGTCGCAAAAATTGCAGAGGAAGCTTCCAGAAATTATCCCAGTTTATTTTTTGTCCCTCATGATCAGCAGAGAGGGTTTTTAGCACATGGTGGGAGCAGGAGACTGTAGTTGCTACCGGCACTTTGCAGCACAGAGGAGAGGTTGGTATGAAACATGGTTCTCCGGAGTGTGCAAAAATACGTACAAATACAGATGTAGTGGCTTTGAGTTGGGGTTTTCCTTATCACAAGTGCATTTTTCACAGTATTGTTTCTCAGCCTCCTCCTTGCAAAGCAATCGAGGTAAAATCTCAGCTCGTTCAGCTTCAGGCCATGAATTCCCAGGATGAATCCACTCACTTAGCGATGATCCACGCCAGCTTCTTCACGAGATGCGCCACTAACGGAGCAGCAGCCCTGGTGCCCAGCTCTGCTCCCGGCCGTCTCTTGCCCTCTCTGCCACCTCCTGCGTCCCCCCTGCCACATCCCCTCGCTGCCCCAACTGCTCCTGCACCACGGGTCCAGCAGCCACCAGATGACGGGTTGCGGATCGCAATGAGGAGATTACAGGAGCTTTACCTTGAATGATCCAGACATGAAGGAATTTAATCCCGCGTTTGAAGTAAAAAGTATTTATTTACCTTCTTCCTCTGAGTCACTGCTGAAGCATCTCATCCTCAGCCACCACGTCAGGAGCGCAATCGCTCAGAAAAAGGGTCCTGAAGTGCAATTGTACTTTCAACCTTCCCCTGTGCAAAGGGAAATCCCTCAGACCTCGAGCTTCGCTCTGCCCCCCAGAATGATCCTGCCTCCCTCTCCTCTAGCCAGGGCTTTGCGTTGCACTTGAAGATTAGTGGTTAAGATCCTGCTCCTCTTCTTCAAAATGAAGGTCAAAACCTGACCTCAGCAATGCCAAGTACATGTTTTACCAACTCAAAAGGGAGCTGGTTTGGCAGTGGGATGGACTCGTTTGTCTGATACCCAAATCAAAGAGCCACATCAGCAGAGCCTCCTGCTGCGAAGGGACGCGCAGGTGCGAGGGATGGTGTAAAACACCTTTTTGGGATCTGGGTTCAAAAACCCGATACTTGCAAACAACAAAATCCACAAAGAATTTACTGGAAACCCCTTGGTAAAGGTTGGTGTCATCTCCCATAAGGGACATTCTTTAAAGGGGGAATTCAGCATTGCTAAATCCCACCCAAATGGTTGCTTTCAGCAACCTGCTTTCAGCAGGAATTTACCGGGTTTGGTTCTGGTTCAACAAAATACTTAAAGATATGAGGAATCTGACTGACCTGGGAGCTTAATAACAGCAGAATTAACAACCGCAGACTTTGGCTGTGTTTTGAGTGGCAGGGGGAGCAGTCAGCGATGCGCAGTGGGTGTTTTCACGCGGACACGTTCACCTCTCCATCCCGTCCCCGTGTCCAGCCGTTACCCCACCAGCTGCCGCTCTGCCCGGCAAAAGCCGACGGGAGATGCCGACTGCTTCTTCAGCTCGGAGGCTTTTACAAAAGGGCTGGCAGACGGACCCTGCAGCCGGGACAGCGTACGGTGCCTTGGCCGAGGTGCATCTGCTCTGGCGGTGGCGGATGGGTCCCAGGGGCTCCCCTGCTCCTGCTAGGAAAGTTTTAGAGGAAAATACATTTGCGACGCTTCAACCTGTGAGACCCTCTCCTAAATTAGCAAAAGGAAATGTCAACCTGTGTTTGGGATCTCAAGCTCATATAGTTTCCATGCGCTTCAAAGTTACAACGGCCAGGTGAAAAACTGCTCCCAAAGGGAAGGCAAAGGCAGCTGGTGCAGGCGGTGGCTGCGGTCCCGCAGAAACCCTGCTGTGCCCTTCACCACCCAGTGCTGTTTTACATACAAAAAGCCACAGGTCTGAAAACACCACAGTAAACAGGACAAAAGGCATCGCTCTCAACCCTTCTCCTTCCACTCGAGAAGGGTGGGCATGTTCTAAGGGAAACGTTATCCCAGGAACAGCTCTGCAAAGCAGGAGGGAGGAGATTGGCAGCAGAGATGGGCAAGTTCTTGAGTCTCGCTACGGAGGGATGCAGAAACAGAGGAGAACCCTCTGCGTGAGGCCAACACGGTGCCAAGCACAGCACAGCGCAAACCCAGCAAAAAAGCCCGTCTCCCCAGCTTTGGCGCGTGATCCGAGGCACGGGGACGGTCCCGGAGGGGACCAAGGAGACAGACCTACAAGTGGCAATGCACACGTGGCCTCAGGGACGTCCCCGCGGACACCCTGCTGCCCACGGGGAGCTCGCCTGGGTGGGATGTGGGGCTCAGTGCTCCTTTCTCCATGGGAGGGAAGGAGTGGAGGCCCCAGAGACTTGAGAACGCGATGGAGAGTCTGAAACTGCAGAAGGAGACCAGAAACTCAGCACCAAAAGGCAGGGAAGGTGCCGTTCTTCTGGTTAGGTGCTGTCCCACCTGGCAGAACATCCAGAGAGATGCGTCGCAGCTGCGGGAGCGTGGCTGAGACATTCCCAAAAGGGCACCCGGGGACGGAGCACCCCTGAAGGAGAAGGGCTGAAATTCTTGTTGATGGTGAGACAAAGACATCCACAGCCCTTGGGATAGCGCTGGTGGTAGAAGATGACCCCGGGTACCTCATCCAAAGGGCGATGTCCTCTCCCACAACCCAACAGTTGGAGTCAACTCGTGCTTGGGAGGGGTTTGGCTGAAACACCAACCATCCCGGTGAGGGGGGGAGCGGTCTGCAGGGCCAAGTCCGGCTTGAGCTCAATCCAGAAAGCTTTATAATGACAAAGGTGCTACGAGGAAATAAAGTGAGGTTACCGAGTGCTCCCCCTAAGCCACAGGACATACGATACACCGAGAGTACTATTTGGGTTACCTGGTATCTCAGTATCGTTTATTAACCAGCAGATCAGAGTAAATGATTTCTCTGCTCTTTGGAGAGCAAAACAGCACCAAGGCCCTGCTGGAAAACGACTTGGAGGGCTGACAACATAGCAGGGACCTGTGCTGAAAGTAATTCACAGGCAAACATGCAACGTAGGTGCGATGTGCTGCTTCTCCAGGTGCTATATGCACCCCAGGCAGCCATCGACGATGGAGTTACGGTGAGAAACACAGGCACAGAGCTCAGCTCCTGGGACAGAGCAGGGAACGCAACAGGCAGCACCACGGGAAAAGCACTTTCTGTGGCTGAAGCTGTACAAATGCAGACCCTGATCCTGCTTTTAAGGTAAAGACAAAACACACCTGCAGTCAGGAGGGGAGAACAAACAGCAAAACCCAGCGCCAGGGCCTGTGATCCACACACCGCCAGCAGCCAAGACGGCAGCGCGAGGTGGGATTGTAGAGAGGAACTTAAACCAAGAGGACTAAGTCATGCAAGAGGCAGCATAAAACTTGATTTTTTTTTTTTTTTTTCTTCCCCAAGCAAGTAACTGCTTCAGAGGTGTTAAATTCTCATGATGGAAAGTACTGAGGATGTAGTCTCACACCTGCGCTGGCTGGGTTTGAGTAAGAGACCTGCAAAGTCAACTCCACCGAGGAGTCTCAGGCTCTTCCCTCAGCGTACCAGAAAGAATTTAGCACCAAGATGCCTGTGACTGAGCATGGCAGATCACCACACAGCAAGCACGTGTGTCCACCTGCGCTGCTGCTAACGGGCATCAGCAAGAATCCACAGAAATGAGAAACGCTTTGTGCAATCAAATTATAAAAGTAGCCGTCGCCACTGGATTAGGCTTTG